GCTTTGTTAAACTCTGGTGTGCCCACATGCTCTTTGAGCTATGGTCACTATGTTTCTTAACTTTGGCCCCCTCCTTGGGGAAGTGAATATTCTCTCTCTCTCTCTCTCTCTCTAATTTACTTTCTAAATAAACTTTGAACACTTTGAAAAAAGAGAGAGAGAGATTCTGACCAAAGCAATGAAGCTGGCCTATTTCCTGTCTCCCCTCATGTCCATCCTTAGGAAAAAAGTCAGACACCCAAATCCTAACTAGGATCTACATCTTACTAACAATATGACATTTCTTTAATCCTAAATTGCCAAATTTGTTAAAATGTGTGGCTTTGGGATAGATTTCCTGGTTGAATTTGTTCCTTCCTCAGAGACTTCTCTCAATAGGTGGATGGATACTAATGAGGGCAATCCCTGCTTAGTGACATTCAGTGGATGGACTCTTTCTGGGTGCAAATTGCTCCAAAATCACTGGGTGGGGATGGGCTCCTGTGTGTTAATCTCAAGTGAAGAAGAGTCTCAAAAACCATGGATTGCCTGGGCACCCCAGGAGCAAAGGTGTCTTTGAGAACCCTGAGCCAGAAAGGTGGAAGTGGTGGAGAGAGAGAGAGAAAGAGAGAAAGACAGACAGAGACAGACAGACAGACAGAGAGAGACAAAGAGATGGTTAGAGCCTCAAGGAATGGAATCTGGTACCAAGTCCAGACACCTTCAAAATCATCTAGGGAAACCATATTAATTTTTCCAACTTCTCAGGTTCAATAAACAGTTCAACTGTGATGAGCCCACTGCACTGGGATTTTAGGTCCACTCTCTAGTCAATCTCAGCTCATCTCCAGAAAACCAGCATGTTGGGACCCACCTCACACTGTTTCTAGAGACAGAAATTTTCCCTCCTTGAACCCTAAATATTCTCGTTTCTGGATTGAGTAGAATGAGCTGCTGAGACATTCCAGAGATATTTCTTAAGAGCAATCTCCATATCTACTTGTCCCTACTGCAGGGGGAGTTTATTCATGAATCAGATGCATGCCAGGGAGAAGAATTCCATGGATTCCAGGTATAAAGAGAACTAGGTTCTCCTTTGAGTCTGGCCACTTCCCAGCCATGAAACAGTGGAAAGTGATGGAATGTTTCCACCTTCAATTCTCTATCTCGAAAACCTTTATAATTGAATGATAAGACACTTGCTGGTTGTCATTGCTTAGAAAACAGATTGAATCCAACTACATTCTTCTGTTAATATGAATACTGTGTTTCCAGAAACAGTCATGACAGATTCAAAACCAAAACAGGGATTTGTGTTCAAACAGCCTAAAAGTGGCCAACTTGACTTTCTGAAGTGAATAAACTTACCAGCCTGCTATTAAGGATTGTTATAAAAGAAAGAAGGGAAGAAAGAAGAAAAGAAAGGCTTTGTTTTTATTCTAGTTTCCTTAAGACTAGATTTAAAAAAATAATTTTAGAGATATATTTGGGAAGGGAGTATTACATTTTATGTGCATCTTATCTTATTAATTCTTTTAATGTCCTTTCTTTCATTTTCATCTGTACAAAAACATTTAGTTGTCACTGGTTCTTGCACAGGGAGATGTAAAATTCTCTTTGGTGACTATTTATCCCCAAAATGGTTTTCTCAGCACCACCAATTCAGTCCTGTCCATAATCAATGCTATGTGTATTGATGCTCTTTCCTGACAGGGTCCAGCAGTTAAGCTTTGGTTTCAGAGGACACGACATTCCTATTCCTCATTCCAGCCTGAAGATGGTTGTGAATGTACACCAGTCCGTGCTCAATCTTCCTCCTTCTGTGTCAGACACATTTGGCTGACATTGATGGCAGAGGAATAATTTTCAGTGGAGTTTATTCTCACAGATCATTATAGTGTGAAAAATACATGCTATTGTTTCTCCCAAAGACATCATTATTCTTCATCAAACTGTGCCTTGCTTCCTATGACCAATCTGCTTCATGGAAATACATATGGGAATATCAGAAATTTATGTGTACAACTGTATGCTGTAATTAAGATATTTTATTTTAATGATAATAGAAACAGTTTTCTCCTTAGAAACTGATATAACCTCTGTTAGTATATGTGGCAGTTCTTTCAACATGAATTTGGACTTCCTTAATTAATTTATTCATGAAAGCAATGTATCAGTTGCACATATATCGTATATCTCATGCTGAATATGAAAAACAAAAATAAACCTGCCCTTTGGAGGTTCAGTTTAGAGGCAGAAATGAAACCATAAAACATATGCAAAATACAAGCAATATACACAGAAACAGGACTAGGGACTCAGGAGGAAGCTTGTGTGGGAGTTGGGGAATGGCACCATCCCTCCATGCAATGCACTCCAAACAGTCCTGAAAATCTAACATAAAAACATAGTCATTAAACAGAACAGCATGAAAGGAAATTCTTCATTTAGTAAAGTTTTTTTTTTTTTACAACGCTATGCTCCTCTTTTTAAAGAAGAAACAGACAAAAAGGAAGAAAATCAGATACTTTATTTAAAAAATACTGCAACCTCAAATTTCCAGGCATTGGAATAATTATGGAATCAGCTCAAATTCTTGAATTGTATATCATTTTTGCAAATAATAGATGGCAAGAATAAATATTCCACTCTGCGCTCTCCAAGCCTCAGAACCCCCCACTCAAATTTAAAGAGAAATTCAAGTATTTCCATTATGCACTAATTACTAAGATAATGCTCTGTTAGAATATTCCAGAAATAGACAACGTTGTGATTTCTGAAAGAAGCAGAAATTGTCCTTCCATATGACCCAGTAATCCCCCTATTGGGAATATACCTGGAGGAACTCAAGTCATTCTACCAAAAAGATACCTGCACACACATGTTTGTTGCAGCTCTATTCACAACAGCAAAAACATGGAACCAACCATGCTGCCCATCGAAGCTGGACTCGATTAAAAAAAGTGCTACATATACACAATGGAATATTATGCAGCCATAAAGAAAGACAAACATATGGACTTTGCAGCAACTTGGATGAATTTAGAGTCTATCATACTCAGTGATCTTTCACAGAAACAAAGAACAGAGTACCATAGGTTCTCACTTATAAGCAGACCATGAACAATTATCAAAATACTATAAGAAAAGGATTGGCTTAGACTTAGACTGTCGAACGCGGATGTTCCTTCTATTAACACAGATAGCCACAGGTTGACTTTTATCATTTAAAAAAAATAAGAAGTAAATACGTTTAGACCTAATGAAACAGGTCTACAAATTAAAAAGATATGCTAGGTGCCATGCAAGCAGTTGGATGCTCCCAAATCAAGCACCCTGGGGACAAGAGGTGTTCCTGGGAAGCCATTGGGACATTTCGGGCATGAAACTCTCAAGACCCTGGAAGACCTCCTGAGCTCTCATACTGCATGAGAGTCAGAGGTTTACAAGACAAGTACAGAAAGTTCTGCTCCTCTCTTGCCACAGCCCCCAAGGTAAATAATTAAATAAACACACTGGACAAATAAAGGTCTAGTTTACCCCTGATGGCCATATCCACACAAGTGAAAGTCTCTCTACTTCCTTGGGATTTCTGCTTGGCTGGTGGCTGACTTCTGGGCACACAGCTTAGGGTAGCTGCAAGAGATGCCGGTGCTTCCTCTGCCCAGAACCTGGCAGTCTGCACCAGCATCACTGCACATTGGTGCCCCTTCCGCCTCAGGGGCCCACAGCCTCCAGAGTGCTGACACATAGGTTTTGCTTTATCGATTTGCAAACTACTAGAATGTCAAGCAACTCTGTACAGTTTCAATTGCACTTAAGTAGTTATGAAGCACTGTTTCATTGAGTTCAATAAAGAAAGAGTGTCATGTGTGAAGTGTTTCTCAGGTTAATTTCATTAGGGAAAAATGCCTGCCAAGTTTTGACAATCTAATTTTAAAGAATATGTGTTCATTGTTTTCACATTAAATTTTTTTTAATGTACCAAATTTATACTTTTGTTTTTCTTTAGTTGATATTAAAACTGGTGTGTTGATGACACATTTATACATAAAATATGAAAAATGTCACTACCTGTTGATAAAAAATTGGCATTTTTCATGCAATAAATTTGAATGTTAGATGTAAGGCTTTTTTTTTTTTAACCAGCAGAGAAGTTTGTTCTCAATATTATAGACAACCCATTATAAACAGTTTGTAAACAGAACACAGTTTGTAAAACTTCTCCTTGAAATTTTGACTTGTGGTGTATCTTAAAATGTTGATTTCCCACTAATTTTATTAAGAAATGTGTGATTTTTTAGTAGAATCAAATAATTTATTTCAATGATCATAGTTTTAGAATATAAAAGTCTCTGATAAAAAACAACATAGGTTAAGCATCTCAAATCTAAAAATCTGAACTCTGAGATACTGAGATTTCCTTTGAATGTCACAAGCACTCAAAAAGTTTTGGATTTTGAAGCATTTTAGATGTTTACTCAATATGTATTTTACAAATATTCCAGAATCTGAAAAAATTCCTAAATCCCAAACACTTCTGGTCTAAAGCATTTCAGCTAAGGGGCACTCAGCCCGGTTAGGCTCTTTTTACATCTCTGTTGTGTGTGTGTGTGTGTGTGTGTGTGTGTGTGTGTGTGTGTGTGTGTGTGTGTGTGTTTGAGGTGGAGTCTCACTCTGTCGCCCAGACTGGAGTGCAGGGGCACGCTCCCGGCCACCGCAGCCTCACCCTCCTAGGCTCCGAAGATTCTTCTGCCTCAGTCTTCCAAGTAACCAGAACTACAGGTGTGCACTACCATGCCCAGCTAAATTTTGATATATTGTAGAGACAACATCTCACCAAGTTGCTAGGGTGGGTCTCGAACCCGCGGGCTCAAGCAATCCCCTCGCCTCGGCCTCCCAAAGTGCTGGGATTACAGGCTGAGCCACTAAGCCTGGCCAGGAGTAGAGATTTTTAATGGCAGACCATTTGAGTTTGACTTTATGTGTGGGTTGGTAGCAGGTTAGACTACGTTCCCTACCTTCGTCTCAATTTGTTTGGTGTCTAGATTCTGAAATAACAGCTTTACTCGAGTTTTTCCGTCATCCGAAGATCCCTTCAGCTGAGAGAATTTAAATCTCCAGAGCACATTCTGTAAAGGAATAAAATTAATCAGTGATTTATAAAAAGTAATGTGGGTATTTAATTAACATCTATTCCTACATCAAATAGCCTAGTTAAATAAACACAGACATTTGCTTAATTTTTAATCTACATTCAGCATGTGATAACTTGTCAGAATCTTCATCTTCTCATTCTGCAATCTATATGAATGAAGCTCCTCAAACCCACCCAGATTTCCTTCTGTCCTCCAGTCCTGCCTTCGGCAGCTGCCCACATGTCACAACGACACATCGGCATCTACTGTTGCCAATACCACCTTGACACTTACTGGACCTCTCTGGTTTTCTTCAGTTTTCCTGCACCTAGTCTAAACGCGTCCTAAGATAGTTCTTCTCTTACGGCTTCGAGAATTTTAAAATGTTCACTACAATGTCAAGTTCTTCCCATACTATATAAGATATAGTCAAAGGGCAGATAAAATGGAAAACTTTAATCCTGACTGATACCATTCCACACATGGCTATATGCAAATAAATCACTTAGCCTTAATTTCTTGTGAACCAACTTGAAAAATGTAGATAGTACCACTTTTTAATACTTCTGCAAAATGTACTCAATGTTTGCTAAGATACTTTAAAGATGAAGTGTACTCTACAAAATCTTATTACAATAAAAAGAGGCTGCAGCAAATAAAGACTTAAAGGCTGTCTGTATAAAAGATAGTCTTTAATTAAAGATCCTTCATTATAATAAATCTTTATCTTCCCAGAAAAATCCCAGTAGAGAACAGCAATTTTTTAAAGCAAGCTATGCAGTGAATTTTTATTAAGAGCATTTATTTTTAAATAATGAACGTATTTTTCCTCTAAGTGTCAAGAAAGGCAGAGAGATGGGGAGAAATGAAGGGAGAGCTTCAAAAGCACTTTTGTTGCATCTGACCATTGACCTGTGTATTCACCGCTCACACCCTAACACCAAGATTCTTTCTTTTTTAGGACATCTAGAAGCTGAATAGAATCTCCTCATCGTACTCCAAAGTTTCAAAATCCGCATTTCCTCTAGATCTGGGGAAATTCAGAACTCCATAGGGTAGCAGGTAACAATGACTCCTGCTCTTTCATGTTCACAATAAGGTAACTAAGCCCATGCCCATTCCTGCAGACTTCAAGCACAAGGGTCCTTTCAGAACTAGAATTTTTAGAATCTACCCAGAAAGAAGATAATCAGAAATTACACTTCAGTCACTGCTTCCTATGGTAGTGGGCTCCAGAAGGGAAGCATTTGTGTAATATCTTATTATGAGCAGAAGAGAGATTGATGAGAGTCACAGGGCACTGAAGTAAGCTCAAGAAGCAAACAACAGCTACACCAGCTTGAAGGATTTGCCACCCATGATGCGGACTGACCTGCAGCAGGTCCCTGCTGCTGCTCCACCCAGCTGTCCCTAGTCTTGCTCCTCCTCCTACATGCCAGACAATGCCATGCTCTTGGGCATCTCCTAAGCACGCTCTCTGAAGGCTGTGAGACGGGGCTGTGCTTTTAGCCTCTTGCACTCAATCTCACCTGCCTTTAAATGACATGTTAGCTACTTTTTATACGAGAAACTTGTGATCACAGGTATGTGCCATCAGGAGAAGCCAGAAACATCTGTGAGGAATTAGGCAAAACCTAAATTTGGATTTTGAAGCATTTAGATGTTCAATCAATATGTATTTTATAAATATTCACAGAATAAGCAACATTCAAATGACTCTGTAAACAACAACACAGCATTTGGTTCAAATTTGATTGTGGAGAAAATGAGCTGAATAGTGGTCTACTCCCCATCAGGGTAAAGTCCTAGGAATAACCTAGTTAGTATTTACATAATATCACACACTGCTATTAAAATAGTCTTCAAAAGAGTAAAAAACTTACCTATGTGAAAGTACTCATTATTTAAAGAATTCAAAATGGTCCTCACAACATATTATTATTATCTTTTTGATTCATTGTTTTTACCCTGCACCTATACTAAATATTTGCTGATTTCAGAAAAGTGCTTTATGAGATGTATACATCCATGGTTTATTTGCTTAAGTCATGTCCTAATTTAACAATACAGCCCTTGTTCCAGGTGAGGTAAGACAAGCACTTTCATCAACTTCTCTTTCTGAGAAATTCTACAACACAGACCAGGCACAAATGGGGAGCTGGCTTGGGTGGCAGGCACTGCCCTCTTTTAGTCCTTTCTCAGAGCGAAGTATGCTCAATGTGGTGATTCCTTTCATAATTAGTTTGTTCCAGAACATTAGGGGTGGTCTCTTTTAACTTTTTATAAGTTTTTCTCCTATGCATCTAAAAACAGTAATATTTCTGAAGGAAAGGAAACTTGCTATTTCCATTATGAATGATATTTCTGAATCTCAGTTTAATTTCAGTATTCTGAGCCTGACTACAAAGAATACCTGGACCGTCTAGGTCAGCCTCAGAGATGCTACTGGACACGAATAACAGCAAAGCACCAGCTATTGTCTGTCATCCTCGAGAGGAATCTGGATGGGCCCTGGTTCTTCCCACCAGGTGGATAAAGGCTGAAGGAATTCTCAGTTTAGTTCCCAATCTTGGGAAAGAGAAAGCATGTTTCTGTGGTTTAAGTAATAAAAGAACAACATTATAGTTAAGTGTGTGTTATATGAAACATGTTGATGTTTACATTCTATTTTTATGATTACAGGTTGCTAACACATTTGCAATAAATTTGGATTTTTAAAATACTAACAATGGAATATATTATTTGAGTCCTTTCTTATGCTAGTGCAATGGGTAGTACCAGCAGAATCTGAGACACCAAGGAGAAGGTGCTTTTTGGATTCAAGCAGAAATTATGTTTTGAGCTTTTTCTGGGGAGCTGTGGAAAACCTTTTTTTCTCCTCCTTGTTAGGAGAAAATCATCTTCTTTTCTCCTACAAGAAAGCCAATTCTTTTTTATTTCTTAAAAAACTGTTCTTTCTGTTCCTCCCTCCAGCCTTAACTCAGATTCATTGAATTACTGGATTCCAGACTAAGGAACACACTCCATGTGGTCAGTCCAGCACCAGAACACTTTGGTGAGGATCCACACTGATCCCCAGCAGCTCTCTGTTGTACACACGGGCTGGAGCCAGATCCTGGGATGCATGGAGGTCAAGGGTAAAGGGCAAGAGCTTCTCCCCATAACTATGTTGCCTAGCGTCCACCCCTGTGGCCAGTCCCCACTTCCTCCAATGACCTTGTATTCTGTTTCTGTTGACAATTAGCATCATATCAGAGCAAGAAGATGTGGACACATCACGTCAAGGTCCAGCCTGCCTTGTATGAGCTTGGACAAGGCAGGTGACTAGACCACTTCAGGCAGGGACGTCCTCCATATCTAGCAGTTAGGATGGTGTTCTGGCTTATTGTCTTTAATTTAAAAAAACCAATTCCCATCTAGAAATTTAAAAGTATATATTAGACAATGAATGGTCTTCTTGTTTATTTTCTAAGTGCAGAAAATACTTCCATAACCATGTAATTTCCCTGCTCAACTCCTCTGTATTAATGTTGAAAATAGATAGTTGGTGGTGAATAGATTATACTTGAAAATCATTGCTTACCTTTCTCTGGCAAGTACAAAGTGGGGAATTAGGAAATCTGACCACACAAATGTATCTCAGGAGTTGTGTTCATAGATGACCTACAGTAAAATCTTACAAGGTTTTGGTGAATAAGTATTGCTGCCATGTTGTGGGTCTAGTTTTGGCTCAGAAATAATATACAAATGGCCTCATTTAACAGTAATGCAGTATAGAAGTACCAATTATCTTGTGAATATGAGCATGGAAAATCCCAGTCTAAATATCTGTAGCCAAGAACAAATTGAAGCTGGTAAGAAAAATGGCTTAGGACTTTGAAAACTGCCCAGATTTTAGTGTAAGTCATCTACTCAGACATCCCACTCAAACAGTTCAGCCGAGAAATCTTTTTGACTTTTCCATGATGACTTATACAGAGGGCACACAGAAATTGGAGAAAACAACATTTTAAGTAATTGTTTAGAATTATTTCAAATTCAATAATTATTTATCTCCGTCATTATTTCATTATATTTCATTCATTATATTGATATTTATACAATATAGAAATATTTGAAAGACTATCTATACCAAACTTATAAATGTCATTCTACATTGAAAAGATGACGAGATGACAAATAAAGCAAAATTATACATATTTTATGAATTCACAACCCATTGGTTTATCCTTCACCATTAGGCTGGTGAAGTTTTTCTTTAAAAAAATTAATTCAGACTGGACTCGGTGGCTCAGCCTGTAATCCTAGCACTTTGGGAGACTGAGATGAGTGGATTGCCTAAGTCTGTGGGTTCGAGACCAGTCTGGCAACTTGGTGAGACCTCATCTCTACAATAAAAATCAAAAATTAGCTGAGCATGGTAGCATGTGTCTGTATTTCCGACTACTTGGAAGGCTAAGGTGGAAGGATCGCCGGAATCCAGCAGGTTGAAACTCGGGTGGCTGTGAGTATGCCACTGCACTCCAGCCTGGGCGACAGAGTGAGACTCCAACGAAAAAAAAATTTATACATTCAAAATATTATAAATTCTAGATAAAAAACTAGGTCAGGATCTCTGAGCCTCGAGTTCAGATGAGCAAAAAGATACTTTAATTGAATCTCTGAAAACTTGACTTAGAATTGAGAAGTCACTGAGTCTGTGAAGCCTCAACTGAAGAGGTTAAACGTCTTTCCCTGGAAGGTTGAGAATAGTCTCAGGGACAGATAGTCTCAGGGATAGATCCTGAGTCATGCCCTCCTGGAGTCCCACCAACCACACAGTATGGAGCCATCCCCACGCCCCGGGAAACACAGCATGCTTCTTTTAGCAGGTGGTTGTCCTGTTTTGTCCAGCAGAAGGATGTGGCTAAGGGCAATAGATAAATAAGTCTTAATTACAAGAACTCAGTCTAATAAGACACTTTGGTTACCAGGAAATCTGAAACATTACAGCTTTACTCTAAAGAGCCCATGACCCAGTTTTGCACAGCACTAAGAAGCACATTATTGCTATTTTAAAATTTCATTGGATTGATTTTAGAACTGATTGGGGAAAAGTACTATAGAAATGATAAGAAGTGCCTCCAAAGGGCCTAAGCCCAGCTCTGCCCAACTGCCTGGCAACTACTGAGCCAAGGAAATGGGAGACAGCCTGTTAGAAAGGAAGGTACTATCCTTAAAGACACAGTGGGGCGACCAGGAAACTAAGAAAATCCACCAAGAAATCAAAGTGGAAAATGTGTTTCCTTGGTGAGCATATGATCTCATAACTCATAAACATCATTCCCATCCAGCCCCTGGGAGAATGCCGCGGCCCCTCCAATGGGAATGTGCCCCTTGGCAAAGTCAGCCCCTATGGCTAGGGCTTGTCTAAGCATTGTGCTCCTTCAGTTCTCACAGACCCTGCTGGAGCTTCCCACGGTATCGTCAGAGGAATGTGAAGGGAGTAGGGTGCCCCTTTTATAAGGGTACAGAATGTAGCTCAGTGACACTGATACCCCTGGCAATGCCACCCTGTCCTGGCTACGTGTGAGAGGCAGGCAGATTAGTGAGACCTTCTGGTAGAATCACGATAGGGGGACATAGTGACCTCTGAACACCATGCTAAAGCCTTGGACTTTGATGAAAATCGAAATCTGAAAACTTAAACGTCTTTCCCTGGAAGGTTGAGAATAGTCTCAGGGAGAAATCCTGGGTCATGCCCTCCTGGAGTCCCACCAACCACACAGTATGGAGCCATATGGATGAGATGTACTAACAAGGAAGAGTCTGTGAGTAAAATAGGTGGGTGTTTTATTCCTAGGAAGGATGCTCTAAAAAGCTTCTTCCAGGGGCGAGTCACTCAGAACCCCTGGGGCTACAGTTAGGTGGGTTATACCAATCTACTCTTTTTTTTTTTTGAATTGGAGTCTCACTCTCACCCAGACTGGAGTGCAGTGGCTGCTCCCGGCCACCGCAGTCTCGACCTGCTGGGCTCCGGCGATCCTTCCGCCTCAGCCTTCCAAGTAGCTGGAATTACAGGCGTGTGCTACCACGCCCGGCTAATTTTTTGATTTATTGTTTATTTATTGATTTTTTGATTTACAGGCGGGTCTCAAACCCACGGGCTCAGGCAATCCACTCACCTCAGCTTCCCAAAGGCGCAGGATTACAGACTGAGCCACCGAGCCCAGCTACAAATCTGCTCTTAAGATGGATGTAAAAAGCCTCAGTTCAGATTTCCTGAAGCATATGATTATTGAAACATAAAACAAGAAATGGAAATTGCAAATCAGATCTTGGATTTAACAATTTTATTGTAAAGTTTTCCTCTATGATAGTTGTTTTACTATTTCACTCATCTCAGAAGAACATACTACAAAAAGGTTTCCAAATAATACTAACAGCAAGTCACCCAGCCCGTAACTGGCATGGTGAACCAGGGACAGCAGAAAGAACACATAAGTGGGATCAGGAAGCCATTTGCCCACTCTGTGACCTCGGGGTTAAGAGTACAGACCTAGAAGTTGGATGGCAGGCATAAAGCCCCTTCTTAATGTTAAATACTTAGGCAATTTGTAAAATTATTGGAAATACTATGTGTTTTAAATACTATTTTTAAAAACATCCTAATAATTTCCCTGAAAGGGGAACAATGACCACAACGAATTTTATAGCCCCAGAAACCTGTAAAGAAGCAAACCTGGATCTAGCACAGAATACCAACCTCTGTGATCACCCTGTAGGTGCTGATGCAGAGTGCTACTCAGAGTCCCAGGACTCCACTGCCAGATTCCCTGGGTGTCAGTAGGAACTCCCTCCAGGTCCTGACTATAAAAAAAGTCTAGGCATTTTCAAGTGTACCCTGGGGGCAAATCTACCCACTGAAGAACCCCTGCACAGAAAGAGTGGCCAAGTAGGTTAGGGTAAACTTCACAGAAGGAAGGTACCGTTCCCAAGTGCTAACTCACAGATTGAATGATTCATTCATCAGAGAGAACATCCAAAGGCTTCTAAATGTAGACATTTGAAAAAGTTTATAACTAATGAGTGACAACTTTCCGGTGCTTTGAGACAAGGCTTCACTTTTTCAGGATTGACCTGCTCCTCAGTGAACAGCAGGCATGGGCAGAGTGCACTCAAGTTGTGGGAAAGTATAAGTGCAGGTGACTGGAATTTCTATGCACATTGCAGTGAAGTTGATAAAGACAGTGTTGAGTAAGATGTATAGAGGGCTATTGTTTTGGACTTAGACCCAACAGACTGGACAGTGTTGAGTAAGATGTATAGAGGGCCATTGTTTTGGACTTAGACCCAACAGACTGGACAGTGTTGAGTAAGATGTATAGAGGGCCATTGTTTTGGACTTAGACCCAACAGACTGGATCAAAACAGAGTCACCCAAACAATCAAACTAAACTTTAAGGAAGGAGGAATATCCCCAAACATACATACCAGTGTTTTCCTAAAAACAGGAGATTTGCAACAGTCAATCTAAGGGGCCCAGTCACCCTGAGCAGGTGTGGTAGAGAAGTCTTCTCTGTTTTAACCCTTCCCAGAAGAGTACCCTGAAGGAACTTGATGCCAAGCAGTCTGCTTTTTGTATTATTGTTTCCCTGTTCCTGCTCAAGCTACCTCATAGTGTAGCAGGAACACAGAGAGGCCGTGACACCGAGGCTGTTTTAGGAAGTAGTAGATTTATTTTATCAGCGCCAGTGTTACTCAGTGGGCTAATGCTCCCAGGCTGAACACCCCCCCGGAGAGGGAGGAGAAGGGTCTTATACCTTAGTTTAGGTAAGGGAGGGGGGTTGGGTAGAGCGATTACACATTTTCTTTGAAATTCACAAGGTTGTACTCAGCAAAATCAGATTTTCAAAGAACAAATGGTCTCCAGGAAATGTGCAGCAAGCAGGGGTTGTAAACTGATGACTTCACAAAGGGTGAATTGGTTACCATTTTGCATCTCCAGAAAAACCTTCCTTGGCTATTTGGTTTTCTCAAGCAAAACCTGTCTGGCAGGTTTTCGGAGCTGGCTGATTGATCTTCAAAAGGAATACTTTTAACTGTTATCAGCCCTTCTCTGCCACAGCAGTATCACCTGTTTCACTGTGTCAGCTGGGCTCTATTTTGTATAGGAGATGCTGCTCCGTTCAGGACTTGCTAATAAAAGACAATTCCATCTTCAAACTCAATTTGTTAAAATTTTGGTTTTTTTAAATAATAGTGTTTATCATACTGATACTTTCCCATTTCATCCATTCTTAATTAGTCTACAAGAGTAGGTTTCCAAAATATTTCAAGACAAAATATTTGTATTATCTGTGAAAAACACAGTCTTATCACTCACGTAGTTCGGTGACTACTTGGGTGCTCATGGACCGGGATCTAATTCCATTTCTAATGGCAGGTTTACCTTCATGGAGTCAGCACTTCACAGACTTTACCAGGCAAGAGTGCCATTCACTGTTACCAAAAATCTTCAGATTCAAAGTAGATATTGTTTATTTTCAAGGTGTTTAGTGTTCTGGGTCCTTCCCTTGAGCAGGATCAAAAAACTCATCCTGTGCTTGTCTCTTCCTCCTACACCCACACTAATGAATATCCTGTTTGCCAAACAGCATTCAGGGTTTGTGAAAATCCTGGGGCCCTGAGCTAACAGAATGAAGACAGTCTATGAAGGCACAACCTTTACACAATGCCCAATCCATCAGCATTGGTGGTTTCTATTGTTTACGAGTGTTGACCTCTGTGAAATGTAATCAAAAGGCACTGGCATTGGAGTATTATGTGCTGATTGCTTGGCCTCTTACCTTTGTCTTACTGTCAAAACAGGTGAATCCCAAAGCGAAATCCACTGTGAAACACAGCATTTCTCCTTGCCAGCTGCACATATATGTTTTTGACTAGAAAAAAGTATTGATTTTGAGAAAACATTCTTTAATAATGCTGTTTAATTTTAATTAGGCAGTTGCAATATTAGCCCCCCTTTGGTCAAAGAACCTTTTTATAAAAAATCCTAACATACAAATTGTGTAAATAGAACTGGAGGACCCAGGGACAGAAGAAACCTGCAGAAACATTTGCATAAGGGGGTTCTTTCTTGCTTTTTGTCTATAGGCAAATATTTCTACCTCTGTAAGAGCTGGAAGTCTTTGCAGGCATCACTGTAACTGAAAACAAACCCCCAAATTTCTGTGCTCTACAATGTTTTTAAAAACATACACTAGATTCCTAGATTTTCTTTTTGCTAACTTATAATTTCTATTGTATGATGTGCTCATCTTTCTTTCCATAAGGCCCATGAACATGCTCCAGTAGAATCTAGATGTGGCTCTTGCTTGAGGAACACTCTGAAGAATGGTACAATTTAAAACAACAACACCAAGCAGCAGAAAAATAGCAGCAGTGACATCATGAAAAACAAGCAGAACACCAATCACAAAGAGAGAATTCCCTTAATTCTGAGGAGCATCTATCCCTCCAGGATGGCTGGTTGGATGAAGGGTGGTCTAGACCAACAGGTGACTTTTTCTGAGGAAACACCCAAGCTGTCTTTGCTTTGCTCCTCTCTGTTTCTGGGGTTTTGAGACTGAGGGGCCTTCAGCATCTGTCAACACACATTCAGTCATGTTGGGTGAGAACAGAGATTTGCACTTCTAGTGTTTTCACATGACTCTGGACAAAAGGTGTAATTAAGAATCCACAAGAGAGAGAAAAAAAGATGGTGGCAGAGCCAGTTGGAGTGTGTGAGTCCCTGTGTGAGTGAGTGAGTGTATGGACAAATTTACATGTGTGTCTGTGAGTAAGTGGGCCTGTGAGTGGCTGACTGAGTGAGCCTTGGGAGCAAGTGGCCATGGCTCTCCTGGTGAAGCAGTTGGTGCTGGCAACTGCTCGACTTTGATGCTAGCACCTCCTGGGATGCAGAAGCTGAGTGCCATTTTCTAAAATCAACAAACCTTTTCCTGGGAGGAAACTGTTAAGAGTGACAGCCATTGCCAGACTGCCCGACCACCTCAGTGCCAGTCGGACACTGGCAGTGAGGGCTGAAGAGGGAGTGCAGTGAAGGAGCCAGAGGCAGAATCCCACTGAAGAAGATGAAACAGGTACCCTGCCACCATCTTGAAAACTGGACAAGAAAATGTTCCAACTTGCTCACCATAGAGTGACAGACCTACTCTCTGCCAACTGGTGGGTTAACTAACTACTCAGATTGAATGCAACCCAGAGGGAATATCCTGAAAGCACAAGCTTCAGAGGGACAGGATGAGTGCAGAGTCTCAGGTGCCCCACCCCCTGCCCTGATTCAGCCATGGAACAAAAGGTGTGACCAAAAAAGGACAAAGGAGACCCCCCAAGAGATCAGTGATGAGTCATGGGCTAATCCAACCCCCTCTCATCAGACCTGCATAGCTGGGGCACAACTGAGAGGGACGAACCCAGGTGGAGCCTGGACAGCAGACACACCAGGAGAACTCTACTCCGGGTGAAGTCTGGCTGTGGCACCTGCCACCAGCACCTGGGGAGGAGACAATCCCGCACCCCCCCTAGAGAGGATCCCTCTGACCTTACGAGAGTGAGAGGGGAGGACTGATGCCCTGTCCACCCCCACCAACCCCATTCCCACTAGGTCATGCACCAGGGAGACTGTGAATAAACCCACAGTCCCACAGGAGACAGCAGGCAGGCTTACCTGTGAGCAGCTGAGAGGAATGAGTACTGAACCTGCCACAAGAGAGTGGTTAGTGCCCAGAATTTCTTCAATTCCTTTTTGTTCTTCTTTTGTTTTGGTTTTGTGTGTGTGTGTTAATGTATGTGTGAGGGATCAATTTGCATTCCTCCCTTTTTTGTTCTTGTGTTTTTTCTTTCTTTTTTAAAAAATGATTCTTTTGTTTTGGTTTAGTTTGTGTGTGTGAATGTGTGTGTGAGAGGGCTGTTTGCATCCCCCCTCCTTTTTGTTTTGTTCTTTTTTTGTTTTGGTTTAGTGTGTGTGAGGGTTAAATTTGCATTCCTCCCTCCCCATTTTTTAAATTTTTTTTCTTCTTTTGCTTTTTGTTGTGTGTTTGTGTGTGTGTGTGTGTGTGTGTGTGTGTGTGTGTGTGTTCAGTTTTCTTACTTTTTTGGGGTTTATTTTATGTTTCCTTGTGTCTTCTTTTCTGTTGTTTTTGTTTGTTTTTTGCTTCCTTTTTGTCTTTTTTTGTTGTTGTTCTTAGTTTAGTTTTGTTTTTCTGTGTTTTTTATTATTTTTTATTATTTTGATCCATTCTATTTCATTCTACTTTTCTCTTCTCCTCATTACTTTTGCTTTATCTTGGATTCATGGGGTACACACATGTACCCACTGAATCATAATATAGAGTGGTGATGGGGAGTGGGTCTCAGGAGGCCCATACAAAAGTCAGTTAACATTGTGACTTGCAAGTAGCTTCTGAATCCTAGCTCCCCACCCTCCACCTTATTTGCCTCTCAAAACTACAAAAAAACTGCAAAGCTTCCCACCCCCAGTCCTGTTTCAGAAAAAATGCAGAGGCACTGATCAGGGCCAATAGAGAGCTAAGCAAACAACAGAAGTGAAAGCCCCGCCCATCACTAATGAATAACAGTATTGAGAAAAGAAAGAGATCTGTCACAAATGAGGAGACAATCAACTGAAGAACACAGGTAATCCCCAGAGTACCAAAGAGGCAGCATTTGAGAATCAAACAATAGAAATCAACAATCCACCCCAGAATACAACAAGGATTAGGGAATGGATGGAAAGAGTGAATAAGACTCAAGAAAGACAAGCTGCAACCCTGAAATAACTAGGAACACAGACTTTGGTCATAAAAAAATTCATCCAGGAAATAAATAACAAGACAATATGGAATTAACCTGATTTGTTAAAAACATAGGAGGAAAACTCAGAAAGAAAGAGAATCAATAAAACACACTGTGAGACTGCAAAATTGAAAGCACACACATATATCAATCCAAAAGTCAAACAAAAACAAAACAACCTTGTAAAAGCCTCTTAACAGGGATAAGCTGTCACATTTCAATAATCAACCTGAATGTCAATGGATTAAATGCACCAATGAAAAGACATAGAATGGCAACTGGCTAAAAAAAAAACATGACTCAGCAACATGTGGCCTCCAGGAAACACATCTCACTAAAAAGGACATCCACAGACTTAAAGTTAAAGGATGGAAAACAAACTTTCAGGTTAATGGAAAACAAAAGAAAAAAAAAGGCAAGAGTCACAATTTTAATATCAGATAAAAGAACCTTCAAACTATCAAAATATTAAAAAGATATGGAGGGACATTACATAAAGATAAAAGGCTCAATCCATTAACAAAATATATACATCCTAAATATACATGCACCCAAAACAGGAACACCTGGATTTATTAAGCAACTACTAAGCAAACTAAAAAAGGATACTGACTCTAACATTACCATAATTGGGGACTTAAATATCCTGTTAACAACCCCAGATAGATCATGAAGGCAAAAAACCAATAAGGAGATTTGAAGCCTTAACTTAACACTTGACCAAATGGACTTAATAGATATATACAGTATACTCCACCTAACAACCACAGAATATACTTTCCACTCACCACCCAATGAACATACTCCAAGATCAACCACATCTTCAGTCATAAATCAAGTATAAATATATTCCATTAGATTGAAATACACCATGCACCTTCTCAGACCACAGTGGATTAAAAATAAATATCGCCACCAACAAAATCCCCCCAAAACGCACAAAGATATGGGCAATAAACAGCACAATGATGAATAACTACTGGGTCAACACACGAATCAAAACCGAAATTAAAAGATTCTTAAAAACAAATTAAAACAAAGACATATCTTATGAAAACCTCTGGGATGCCATGGAATCAGTACTAAGAAGGGAATTTATATCTCTATAAACACACATCAAGAAAATAGACAGAGTAGAAATTAACAGTCTAACAAATCACCAAAGGGAGCTGGAAAGGTAAGACCACCAAAAACCTTATTTCAGCAGAAGATTCCAGATCGATCACCAAAGTAAAATCCCAAATACAGGTCATAGAAGACAAAAATCTCATAGAAAAAAATCAATGAAACAAAAAGTTGGTTCTTTGAAAAGATAAACAAGGTTGATAGACCTCTAGCCAGACTGACAAAGAAAAAGAGGCAAAAAGTCCAAATAAACACAATCAGAATTGCAAAAGACCAAGTCACAACCAGCCCTGAAGTAATACAAAAGATGATCAGAGATCAGTATGCACATCTGTATGGAAACAATTCAAAAACCTAAACAGATTGGAGGATTTTCTGACTTCATACAAGGTTGAAACAAGAAGAAATTGAGACCCTAAATAGACTAATAACAACCCAGGATATTGACTTTATAGTAAGAAAACTACCTACAAAAAATAATCCTTGATCAGATGGCTTTCCAGCAGAATTCTATAAAACAAATGAGGAAGAGCTGATACCAATTCTATTAAAAGTATTCCAGGTAGCCGGGCTCGGTGGCTCAGCCTGTAATCCCGCGCCTTTGGGAGGCTGAGGTGAGTGGATTGCCTGAGCCCGCGGGTTCGAGACCCGCCTGGGCAGCGAGACCTCATCTCTACAATAAATCAAAAAATCAGCCGGGCGTGGGAGCGCATGCCTGTAATTCCGGCCACTTGGAAGGCTGAGGCGGAAGGATCGCTGGAGCCCAGCAGGTCGAGGCTGCGGTGGCCGGAAGCGGCCACTGCACTCCAGTCTGGGCGACAGAGTGAGACTCCAACTCAAAAAAAAAAAAATAAAAGTATTCCAGGCAATTGAGAAAGACAGAACTCTCCCCAAATCATTTTATGAAGTTAACATCACATTAATACCCAAACCAGGCAAAGACCCAACAAAGAAA